TGAAAACGGTTATGAATATTATCTTTCAATTCTGCCAATAAATTACCCTAAATAAATCCTACACACTGGTCCTTTAAAACCTTATATATTGTTTGTGTAACCCTTGTAGAAACGTCTATATGTGGTTTAATGGCCGGTTATGTCAGACTATTTAATTCAATTTTCTGAACAGGTTTAGAGTTTGGAAGCTTGAAGGATCTACTGGTTGGTTGCCTGGCAACATTACAGAGACAAGAAGGGATAGATTGACACTTAATGTCCCGTAACATCGCAACAAGTCAATTTTACACTTTGATTATTGTACGGCCTTAAAAGTGTCAGGCTAGCTGTTCCAGTCTTTGTACTGAGATAACAATATTGCTGGCTGTAGCTTTAAAAAGATGATGAGCCTATTTCCCAAAACTGTATTTAAAAAAAAAACATTTTCCACAGTTTTATGACAACTACCCCAAGCTGAACTATGTGTATGGATGGATAATTAGCATGCGTACATTTGGAAAAAAGTTAACTAAGTCCAGCTCTTTTTTGGCCCTAAAGTTAACATGAATTATTCAAAACTCTACGCTTTCCTTTTCTCATTAACTTAAACTTGATGAAATAAGCCAAAATATAGTACTGAATTAAATAAGAGATTTTCATTTTAATGCATATTTAGTTCACCTATTTTAGCCTAGAATAATTTTTTAACGAAAGAGCTTTCACTCAAGCTGCAAGACTTTCTAAATCCTTCTTTGCTATTAACTATTAAACTATTGACTGACCTTTTCAAGGGAAGGATAAATGCTGGTGTGGGCAAGTGAAAAATACACAGCAGTGCATCACCTCCGACTAATTGATTTGGCAGCTGCACTCATGAACTTTTCACTGTGATCAGCACTGTGACAGGAAGTAATCAGATATCAATTTCTGAGACGAGTGGTTTTCAAAGGTGACCATACATTTGAATGAGGTAATGATTTAGCTAAGGTAGACCCTAGAGAGTGAAGCTGAAGCTTGCCTGAGGTCTAAAAAAACCTACACACTGCCCCTGTCTGGCTGCAGGAAACAATGCCGCCTGTAGGAGAGCTCATTCCAGGTCACCCACTCTCTGTGGGCGAGAGAGGGGGAGAGGGTGGAGAGTGCAGGAGAGGGAGGGAGACAAAGTAAAAAGACAGACTAGAGAGAGTATCTATAACTCGGTAAATGCCAGCTATCACACCGTTGTGCTCCAGATAGAGAGCCTTGAATACATGTCTGTTTATTTTGTTGCCATTTATTGACGGAGTGATTCATTTCCTGAGTCTATATAAAGCCATGTACTGTAGCTACAATGCAATGGCAGTGCCTCAGTCGGAGAAAAAAAGGAGGAAGAGTCGAGATAAAAAAAAGAAGACATTTATCTCGTAGGCTCATCATACAGTCATCAGGATGAACGCAGCCCACCTACTTTCTTTATCAACCAGCTTACTTCAGTTGCATAGAAACACTAAAGTGAATCATACTTTTGTGGATTTCTATTGTGTTTGCCTGTCAATCAAACGGACTGATGATGGTCCGATAAGTGTGAGCCGCCTGTGTGAAGATGCAAAGACATTTTAATAGAAGAATCAGCATGTAGGGACTTACAAAGTTAGTGAGTAAGATGCATAAAATCCACAAAGCTATTCTTAATAAAACATACAAATTGATTGTAAAAAATACAACCCAAAGTATGCCATCAGGTCTTGTTGTCATGGAAACAATGTGCTTCTTACTAAAAAGATTTTTAAGCAAAGTTGACAGTAACAGACTTTTATGGACTTGGTTTCAGTTAGCTGTGCAGCTAATTAGCAGCGTGTGCTTTAAAAGATTTCCATATTAGTTGCATCAGCTGCCTGTGACGGGGGTGTGTGTGTGTGTGTGTACGGTGTGAACGACTGTGTGATTTGGGTCTGCTGCACATCAGTCTGTGAATGAGTAGATGGCATCCTGTAGTTAGTGTGGCCAGTTGTTTATGAATGGGGACTTAAGTAGCCCGGCACAGTTCTGCGAAACATAAACCATATGCATCTGGGTTGCGCCTCTTCCAAAACAAAAGTGGTGACACTCTGAAAAAGTCAGTTACCATGGATACAAAATTTGCCCACATCATTTTTGTCAGAGGCCTTGTGTAATCGTTCTCTTCCCTGTAATTTATTTATCTATTTATTCCTTTATTTATATATTTATTTATCAGTTTGTTTGTGAGCCTGCCTGCTGGTTACATAGTTGGAGCTGCTTTAATTAGACTCTGTTTCCTCCCCTCAATACAGGAATATTGCAGTACTGGGCTTTGACTGTTCACCAAACAACATTAGTGCAATGAGCTTTGGTCTACAATAATTATACAGAGTAATAACAACATAGTTGACACACTACCCATTATCACAATGGGTCTCTCTTGTTTTTCAAATATTATATTATCACTCACTGGGCAGCTGGCTCACTGGGGTGTTTGGATGCTGTGAAGCCAAATCTGAACCTGAGCTGAGTGTCTGCATGTGTGAGCGTGTCCGGCATGCAGCGTCTCCGCATCACGACATGCCTGAGTAACTCCTGTTCAATGTTGGCCCATGAAAGATGCATGACAGCTGAGCCCGGTGGTTATAAATCAGTGATAATAACGGGGATGCCTGTTCAGAGAATTTCCAACACTGTGGACCTGCAACTGTCTTCAAACGGGGCAGAGCTGACTGTCCATGTGTTGTGCTACTGTGTACCGGATGAATGCATACTAAATGAGAAAGAGAGATTCTCAAGACTTTGCACCAGAAGCCTGAGGTCCCAATAAGCGCTTTAGGGAAGTCTGCAGGCATGAATGCCGTTGAATTAGATAATATTTAAAGAAACTGAATTTCTTAAAAGCGTATTTATGGTGGCCCTGTATAATGATTTTATTTATTTGGAAATAGCTTAATGTTTAATATAGAATAGGAAGAGCTTAGGCACTCTATCGTTACTGATTGTTGGTTAACATAGTAAAAATAAAAGCTGCTGTTTTAGCCTAAAAGCCTCTAGCCTCTAACAGCATTCTCCACAGTTCCCAGGGGGTATGTCCTGTGTCCAGCCTGTCCCAACAGGGTGCCTCTAATGGGTGAAAAGGAGCAGGAGGAGAGGGTGGTGGGTGGGATGGTATGAAAGAAAGTCAGAGCCATTATATTTGAAACCCCAGGAATTATTTCCTCAAAAGAAAAGTGGACCACCATTCACTCATCATGTGGTCTGTCCCTCTCTCTTTTATGTACACGTTATGCAATCGTCTTTTTCTTTTATTTCAAGCCTTGGAGGCTCTGACGGAGGAGGACATCAACAGGTGGAGATTTTTATTCTAGGGATAAAGGAGGAGGAGGAGGAGAAGTTTTCCTTAATAATAAGCCCTTAGGTCTGCTTACACAGGGCTGTTTTTTTTTACCTCAAAGTGTAACTCACTTTATGACAGCCAGTCCTAGTAGATCCCCGGCCTGCTAACATGGCCCCATGCAGTATCTACACCATCTGTCCGCTATGGGACTCCAAGGGAAAACTCAGAGGGAGATGCAGAGAGGCACGGGGGAGAGCGAGGGGGGGGGGGGTTGTCAACCCTCCCCGAGGACCCCCTGTGCTGCAGTTTTGATCTGCTAATTATGTTTAATTGAGGCTGTGTAATTCACGAGCGTCGGCTCTATTTTCCCTTATCTCACCCGTTTAACAAACCCCGGCTCTGACGAGAGAACATGACATATCATCAGCCATAAACGCTTCGGTGCAGTCATTTTGAAGGAATCTGTATTTTAGATTTTGGGAATAGGGAGCCCTAGATTATTGGTTTACAACAGTTCAGCGGAAATTAAAATGTTTTATCTGTGCGCAGTGGATGCTCTGTGGAGCGGAGGCGCGACGCGGTGATTTGTTTGACGCCGAGACGGTCGTCACAGCCCAAACACACACATACAACCACACACACACAGATATTAAGAGATGCTTGTCAAAACGCATGCTGTTTCGTATGGCGAGTTGACACCAGGTGATAAACGACGGATGATGGTGTGCGCCATACCTTTCTTGCGTCCTATTTTTGGGGAGAAGACATAACAGGAAAAGCGACGCGCATAGAGGCAAAAACCCCGAGAGACACAAGGACAAGACACATCAGTTTTAACGAACTGTGAAGTTGAAGTCGCTTTTTTTTCGGAGGGCTAGACATGGACAATTGTTCCTCTTGCGCGCACCCTCTCAACTCACCACATCTTTTTGATATTTTATGACGAGGAGATGAAGTCACCCAAGTCACCCTCCACCACTACCCCCCTCTCCCCTCTCCACCCTTCACCACACCATCATTTTCTCATTCAGGCCCGTTGCCCATATGTTTAATTAACTAGGCTGATGTGTAAGTACCTTCAGCCAGCGAAGCGTGGGCGGGCGGGCTGCGGGGTAAAGAGACTGCCGGAGAATATTTCCTTATTCCTCTCCACCCAGCGCTCTATCTGCTGCCGGAGCATCACCTCTGTCGTGCGGCGCACAGAGCTACAAAAATAACTCGACCCCTTTAAACTTATTCTGAATTGTTTAGGGTGTTATGGGGGGAGAGTGCGGTGCTCTTTCGGAGAGCGCGTGAGAGAGTGGGAAAATACAGAGGGAGAGAGTGTGTTTGGGGGGGGGGATTTATATACGTGTCTGCGTGCGTTTTGATGTTATTTGTGACGGAATCCCCCCTTCAGTCTCCAAGAATCCGCGAGCGGCGCGAGGAGGAGGACAGGAGAGGAGGAGGAGGAGGAGGCGCGCGGACCTGTCCACGAGCCCTCACTGCGGAACGCGCGGGGCTGCCGCTGGAGATTCCAAACCAAATAGGCTGATTTTGGATTCAGGAGTCTCACTGATCCCCGCACCTCCACGGCGTTTCTTCTTCCCCCTTTCCCCCCAATCCATCTCTGCCGTTGAGTGGACGGTGTTTGACATCTTAACCGAGAGGAATACTATACCAATCTACTGGGGGTGAGGTGCTTGTGGAGGGGGGTGGTCTTCAGAGGCAGACAGGTGGATTTATCCGTGTGGAGGTGGTGTTTTTGGGGGGACTGGATGGAGGAGAAATTGATGGATTAATTTGACGGAGGAGAGTCTTATGTGATTCCCACTCCTGCCGAGGGCACCCGAATGGAGTAACAGGCTGCAATGTCATCTCCACCTGGCCGCCTGGAGAGATGTGTCACGGGAATGGGGTGAGTTGGATTAATTAGTGTTTTTTTGGCTTGGGTTCAAACTAACTCTCTTCTCTCGGGGGTGACGCTGATATTGAGCAGAAATAGTGGGGGTTCAGTGGTTTCCAATCTGCCCGCACACTCGCTCTCCTTTAAAAGTGGAGCATATAGGCAGGTTGGTGGGGTGGCTGGTTTGTTTTCCTCTCTCCGCTCCTTTCGTTCGTCCGAGTCCCCGACACACAACCTGCTGCTGCCCTACATAGCGAGCCCAGCACCGGAGAGGAGCGTGAGGGGAATATTCGCTTAGGAGCCACAGGCTGTTTTTAACGCGCCCTCTCTTTTTTCTCTCTCTCTCTCTCCCTGACACACACACACACACACACACACACACACACACACACACACACACACACACACACACACACACACACACACACACACACACACACACACACACACCACATTTTTTGTGTTTCTCACCCTCCTACCTTTGAATTTAACTCGTTTTCCTCACGCCAGTTTTCCATTCAATAAGCCCTAGTCTCCTCTCCCCCAAAAGATGAACACAAACACACGCGCACGCACTTGTGCTCAAACATACATAACAGCAACGCGCGCGCGTGTACATGCACATACAGGCACGTGGATTGAGCTCGTATTTGATCTAACTCTGACTGTTAAAATGCTTGTGAGTCATGAGGAATATTGGGTAGTGTGTATCGCTCATATAGGCACCAGCATGTAGGCGCGCGTCCTTTTTATAGAACAGAGTCGAATTCAACAAGTCTGCGATTTTGAGGGCTGCAGTCAGTGCAATAAGCAATAGCATTTTTTTATGTCCTTGTTTTTCAGATCAAGTTTGAACACTTTTCCTCTGGTTTCACTGACGCTGTGAGAAGGAACCACAATGCCAGTAAACGGACAGGTCATGGTGGCTGCCTGCACGGGCCCTCAGACCACGGCAGTAAAACTCAGCATTCATCGCACGGACTCCGAAGAAGAAGGCGCAAAACCTCCGCGACCGCAAACCTGCAGCAGCCGCGCTTTGTGACACCGAAGGTGAGTCCGCGTGTGATGGGGGGAGACTCACCGCCAGAGCCGCTCAGACACGGCGCCGAGCGACGCTAAGCGGCGCTGTTGCATCACATTATCCCCGGCTACTGATGAGAGGCCGTGTAATGAATTCATATCTCAAATTACAGTTTTCAGGCTTTGAATGCAGTCACGTTGTAGAAACACATTTTCTTCCGTTTTCCTTCTGCTTCTCGTGCCAAGTCTGACACACGAAGTGTCTTTTCCTTCTCTCAGGGACATTGAAGCCATCACACACACACTCACACACACAGATGTTACATGGGGGGTAACTATAATAGTCTGATATATCTATAGGAGCCTGAAGTGACAGTATATAAGGCACTCATTCCCATACATCTCCATCACACTAAAGTCATTTTTAATGGTATTTAGCATAAAAAAATAGGGGTGTATGTGAGTTAGTGTATCATGATCATTTCTGGCAAATTATCTTTTATGCCATTGCAGACTCATTGTGGGCTTGTAGGGAATGGGAAGAGAGGCTATGGTTGAGCTCAGCAGTAGCCTATTTTCTTGAATAGTGGGATGACACAAAAAGAGATCAACTCTGTAGGGCATTTAAACGCAATAGAGTGGGAGCAGTGGATGTCGAAAGCTGTTGCTGTCTCCATTAATATAAATATCTTGTACAAAGCGGCAATATATATTCTGATTGTGATGTCGTAGCACCTTGAGAACCATACAAGTATTTTATAGTAAGCCGACTTTTCTATTCACTTTCTTTTTGTTGACATCACTCCAGAGTGTTTCCTGCTCAGTTGGGCATTGTATTTTCATCTCTCTGCTATTAACCAACTACTGAAACAAAGCCTAACAGGGAAAACATCAAATGAAATATTCCCAGTGATGCGATGCATACTATATTCTGACTCCCATTTTGGCTCCAGCATGACATAGTGTTAAAATTATGTCGAGATGCATCTCACTGAGGTGTTCACTGAACCATCCTGTTGTTGGCAAAACAGGTAGTTCAGAGCTCATTGGGTAAGCAGCTTGTAGTGAGAAATGAAACTGTGCTGTTCTGTTTCTCTGCAGTTAAAGCTATTTAATCCCTCACATTAAATGTTCTGTTCTCAACATGTTGTCGTGCTTCCTTTAACAAGATGGCCCTCTTGAGATTATTTTGATGGCACCAAGTGAAACTGGTGATATTCACACAGACGTTAAGTTCTTGTACCCTGCTCTATGCAGTCTTGTTGTAATGATCTTTTTTTAAAGAGCGTTTTCAGAGAGTTTTCTCGCAGATAAAAAGCTGAGATAGGTGATGAGCAATCTGACTGCTCTGTGTCATCCTGGTCTCAGTGTTTTGGTTTTTAATTGTGTGCAAGACATTTTTAGAGCTAGTGCCCAAAATCAGCTCAAATCTACATATGCCTGCAAGTGGGAAAAGGTTCAGAGAGCACCGATGCAGAAGTCTCTTTATTTTTCATGAAAAATGCAGATTTGACCCCCGTTGAACCGTTTTATTGAAGTGGTCCAAAAGTATTTCAATTATAATCATGCATTTACTGTGTCATCGTCTCGGAGAATATAGCTTATCAACGTAATAGCATAACCTTGAGATTGGCTGTTTGATCATAACACAGCACTGAGAGTATTGCGCTGGTATCTTTCAGGTTATTTTATGGTACTAGATATAAATGTTGTTTTTCACAGCTCAGTTAAAGCCTTTTGAGTCACAAACACTAGGATAAAGCCAACAAATCTCTCCCTTGTTTTCTCTACTCCATTTTCTGTGAACATTTAGAGGATTTTAGGTAGGAGTACACACACAAGATTGCAACCTGGAGCTTATGAAGAATAATTATAAAGACGCTTAAAAAAGAGAAAGCCAAAGAACCTGTGGGTGGAATGTGCACCTTCCTGCCCTGCATTGTAGCTGTATTTGTCCTGAAGGAGGTATTGACATATCCTGGGATAAGAGCTACAGCAAATAATCTCCTTATCTGCACAGTATTTTTGGTTGGAGCTTACTTTCCACTGAAGTTGACAAACTGCATGTTTTGAAAATAAGATTTCTGATGATGTGGTTTTGTTGAGAACATTAATGCTAACCTGAGTGCAGCCACAGAGCCTCTGGCGTGGCCCTGAGCTTCAGCTGTCATCTGCTGACTGAGCGCTTTCTTTAATGGCAATTAAACCTGCTACTGTGCCTGCTCTGAGTTGCGCTCGATCATCTTGGCCCGACTACATCCATTACCGTTTGATTTTCAGTGGCCAACAAATTGGCCACATTTTATTGCCTGGTCAGAATAATTATCAAAAGTTATGCTACGCTTTCACATTTCACAGCTCTGTCTTTTATGCAGTCACAGGTCAGAAGCCGCTCACATGAAGTTTGAGCGGATGAGAGAAAGCGTTTTCATTTTCCTGTAATTACCAGAGAAAAGCACTGAGTGACATATGATAATGAGTCATTTGACCCCCACTGATCTTCTGTATATTGATGTGTGATAGTACGGTCTCAGACACAAGTTAATAACCCAAAAGCCTTTTAAGAACGTGCTCTGTTTAATCATTTAATCAAAACACAGTTGGTGGTCTCATTTAATGAGTTAGTGAGCCGTGGTGGTATTAAGTAGGGTTTGACTAATACAGGTTTTTGAGCTGATATTTTTAGAATGAAGTGGGGCACTCTTTGTTTTGTGATGATGCTCTACTTCTGTGTTTCAGACCACTTCTTGACTTAAAACACAAGTATACAGTATTTTTACATTATTTGACTATAAAGGTTTTATGTTACATTTAATGAATAGTGATCTTTGAATCATCAGTGAACCCCCTACACTTATTAAATAGTAAAGAGAAATCAGAAGATGCTGGTATATTAAGTTCAACACATTTAGCTTTTCTAATGAGCTTTAAAGTCCTGCAGCTTGAAGATATTTAAGAGGTCTGTGACTAAATGTCAGCGTGTCTTTAATGTTTAAGTGTTTCCTTCAGTTAAAGATTCCAGATAAGTCTTATCTAGCTCCAGCCCAACGTTGCTGATAAGATTTAAGTAATCGGATTGTAATAGATCTGAACATGCAGGTTCTTTAAACCCCAAAAGTAATAATTGTCGTTTCTCAGGCTCTGATTTTAGAGATCAAATCCTACTTTTGATCAATCTTAAAATTCATATCTGTGTTTTTCGTGACTCAAAGGCAGATCGTTTTGCTGCTGAAAATCAGGATAATCTTGATCCTTCTTGAGAGGTGGTTTCAGTGAGGATTTAGAGGCATGACGAGAAATTGCCGCCTATTCGTCTTGAGCATGAATTAAAAAGCAGCATTTGATGTTTCTATTTTAATTAACAAATCCGTCAAAACAGTCGAAAACACCAAATGCCTCTGTTGCAGACGGGTGGACCAGCTGGATGGTCGATAAAAATGGCATTTTTGAACTTTTATTCTTTATAAGGCTGCATGAATTCATGTTATTTTAAAGGTCCCCTATTATACTGTTTTTCACCAATATATTATAGCTTTCAGATATATATAAAACATGTCTCTGAAGTGTTTGGCTCAAAATACCAAACAGATCGTGCATTGTAGCTTCCCATAATCCCCTCTGTTTCAGCCCTGTTTCAAAAGTGCTGATTCTCTGTCTGTTACTTTAGATGAAAATAAGGAGCCACTCCCCACGCCCCTCTGCGAGATGATTGGTTAAAAAGAACACAATGGTGCTCTAGGAGGAGATTCAGGTGATAAGGTGGGGGGGTTACCTTGGTTGGTTACCTTGATTGGTTATTGGCTAATGGTTACACAAGCCAAACAACGTTATGACATCATAAAGTTGCCAAAATCGGATCAGCTCATTTTCAGACAGGTTTTTATATAAATGGATCAGGACAACAAGTGAGTGAATCTTTTTTCCTGAAACTTTCAGAATCTCTTTACACAGAGGGGACACATGTTTATGTATAAAAGACATGAACAAGTGGGTTTTGCATAATAGGTCCCCTTTAATGTTATATTAGCTTGTTTCTTCAATTTAAAACTTTGCAGAAAAGCAATTTCGTTTTAGATTACATTACCAAGTCAGTGACAGTTTGAAAGTTCCTTTATAGGGATGTGAAGTTAATTTCTTGCTCTTCAGGCGATGTATTGGCAGTCATTCAGACCTCCGACAAAATAGGTCTCTGGCTCAGCTCACAGCGACTGTTGATGAATGTAAAAAAAGAAAAACGTGAAAGCTAATCCATTTGGGGGACAGATCAGACAGAAATGTGAAGAAGTAAAATAATGTTGTAACATTACTGCTTAGTCATTTCCCCTATAGACCATTTCTCAGTTGTAAATGGAAAAATTCTCAATGTGTCCCAGTTTTTCTTCCCTGTGTTTGTGACTGACAGGAAGTGGTCCCAAACATTTTGCCTAAAAAATAAATTCTGCTTGAGGACTTGTTTTGTTTATAGTCCTTGTCCATCATCTCCAAGCAGTGTAATTTTCAGGCATAAAACACGAAATAGCCTACAGGAGTTTTTTCAGGGGTGCAACTATACACTCAACTCAAGATTCGCTACAACTTTGTTTTTGCAGAATCAGATGGACGGCATATTGTTACTGAAAAAGATTTGACATTGGATTGGTACATTTCTTATTTGTAAAGCTTCATTATGTGCACGTGTTAGCCACTTGACTGCAACATAACAAGCTGTAAAGACAACATTGACATATTATCTCCTTTTGAATGTTATGTTTTAGCAAACAAATGCTTATTTGCACTTCCAGCATACATTAAGCATTTTAAATATTCATTCAGGGATGTGCCTGTGCCTAATGAATGTCCAATATTGCCTCTCTGTCTAGTCTTTACCAACTCCTGGGGGAAATATCTTACTGTTTAGCTCCTAAATGCTCTGCTGTGTTTATTAGCAAGTCTCTAACTGCTGTGTGGTGCCGGATAGGTAGCACATATTTGGTTTATAAGAGCTTTCTCACTTAAAACACCTGCATTTTCTGGCTGGGTTGATACAAATG